TGGTCCAGGAGTTTCTGTTTCTGGTCCAGCAGTTCAGCCTCTCCTAGGAAGTCACAGATGTGGAATCTCACGGCCCTTCATGCTGGCTTCTTGCTCTCAGCATGGGCATCTGAGGCCCAAGCACGTCACTGGGTGGGTCAGGTCAGCCCGTGTGCATCTGGTCATGCCTGTGGAGGGCATCCCACTGACACTGAATGGTGTCCGTGGCTCAGAGAACTGGCCACATCCTCCCCAGCGATGGGCGATGGTGGTCTCCACTGCGTCCAGTTTCAGGCACATGTGAGCAGCTGTGGTTCTGTGGGGATGAAAGTGCTTGTTTCTCCTGGATCAGCACCTGGAGGGAGGCTCTGGGTCACATGATGGACACTCTGTCACCTTCAGGAGGACCCACCTAGCCGCCATCCCCATGGCTGCACCACGTGGCATCCCCACCATTGGCGGTCTTTGGTTCCTGTGGCTCCACGACCTCCCGACTATGGGCATGGTTAGGGGGTTTTGTGTCTTAAATTTTAGCCAGTCTGAAGCCTGTCACAGTATCTCACGTGGCTTTAACCTTTGTGCCCCCGTTGGCCCGTTTCCGTGATGCGCCATGTCTCCTGCCCCCTCTGCACCACGGACGATCTGTTCTTTCGATCTGAGTCTCAGCGGTCTTTGTGTCCTCTGTACACAAGTCCTTTATTGGATGGGGTTGGGGGTGAATGTTCTCTCCCTGTTTGTGTTGCATTTTTTCATTCTCTTCCCCTCGTGTCTTGATGGCTGGGGAGACATCTTAATTTTGATGGATAGCCGTTTATCAGCTTGCCTTTTGGGCTGTGCTTTGGTGTCATGTGAGAGACCACCGCCTAATCCACAGATAACGTGGCTCACAGACGGACAGGAGGACGGATGGGGCATCGCCGGGGGAGACTTCAGGGATGTGGACGGCCCTTGGCAGCGGGAAGCCAGCGGGGTGGGGGTCACAGGCCCGGGGCCCGAGAGCCCCCACCCACCCTGGGGGGAGCCAGTCACTGCTCTGAAAGGTTTAGCATTGTCCCCCTGATGCTCGGGCCTGTGACCTGCTTTGAGAGACCCTTCCTGTGGGGTGTGAGGTCTGTCCCAGGTGTCTCATGCACGTGGGTGTCCATTCCCTGCACAGCCTCTGGTTTCATCTGTACTGAGAATCAACTGACCATGCACATGAGGCCTCTGTGTGAGCTTACTCCGTCCTGCTGACAGGAACCTCTGTCCAACCCCCAGCACCACACAGTCTTGACCCCGTGGCTCCAGGGTCAGCCTCTGGCTCTGGTCCTGCTCAGAACTGTTCGGGTCACCCTGGCTGCTTTCCTCCCATGTGAGTAGTAGACTCGGCCGGATCTCCAGATGCTGAGCATCAGCACCGTGGTCGCTGACCATCTGTGCCACTGTCCTCGCTGGCCGCCCGGCCATGGTTTCCACAGCTCTGTGGTGACGTGGCTGCTGCACGGTGAGACCTGCCAGCAGTCTTCAACGCACTGTTGGTGTTCTGGGTCCTTTGTTTTCACGTGGATGTTGAAGGCTAAGCTTGTTTGTCTGTACAAGTGCTATGCTGCACTCTGAGAAGGAGTGAGCTTGGTGGGGACAGGGGGGCGTCTCAGTCACGTAGAGTGTCCTGACCCATCACCGTGCGCCCCTCCACTTGTTCAGGTCTCGCCCGACTCACCCATCAGCGCTCTGTGGTTTTCAGGGTACGGCTCTTGTGTGTATTTCATGAGGTTTGTGCTGAAGGACTTCATACTTTCTGGTGTTGAAAAGTTACTGTTAAAGTTTGGATTCCAGCTGCTCGTTGGCAGTTTATTCATCTTTTATTTTGCAGCTTTGTTAAATACAGTAAGTCTCTAGACCTTTCCGTAGCTTCTGGGATTTTCTGTTCACAGACAGCGAGTCTGTTGTGAGGGGCAGCTCTGCCCCCTTCCTCCTGCCCACAACCTCTTCCTCCTTCCCCATGTGCTGCCTGGAGCATCCAGCTTGGCCGTGAGTGGGTGCTGAGTGGGTAGAGACCTGGCCTGTGGGTGCAGAGGACAGCGCTGCTCTGTCCATGGGACTGACCTGTTGTCCGGGGGCACAGGGGACAGCGCTGACCTGTTGTCCATGGCACTGACCTGTCACCCGGCGGCACAGGGGATGATACTCAGTGCTTTTTGATGGTTGGAGCAGCCCTGCGTCCCCGTGAGAAACCTGGCCGTTGTCTGTTTTCCTTCCTGTGCGTTCTCGGATTCTCCCTGCAAAGGCTGTTTGCAGTTTCCTGTGACTGCCCCTTTGGGATATCAGGTCGTGCTGGCCTCCTGCAGAGCGGGGGCGAGGGGCCTCCTCGCGTTTCCTGGAGGGCCTTGTGCCCAGCAGGTGCCGGCTCTCCCACTGGTAGAGCTCAGCAGTGTGTCCATGGCCGAGTCTGCAGCACCTGAGCTGTGTGTCGGGTGGGGGCCACTGGCAGCGTGTCGTGGCTGTGGTGGGGCAGGTGGGCACCGCGTGTCCTCACCCGGCTCTCCCTGCAGGTACGAGGCTGAGCTCAGCCCCGTGGACCAGAAGCTGAGCGTGCTGCGGTCCCCGCTGGCCCAGAGGCCCTTCTTCGAGACGCCATCTGGCCTGGGCGCCGTGGACCTGTACGAGTGCGGCTGCGGGGACGACGACCTGCAGCCCTTGTGACCCACCCGCCCGCGGGGCCGTCCTCGCCGCCTGCTGCTGGACGCGGCGGCTTCTGTTGAGCTGTTTTACGGAAGATGAGTGCGTTTGTATGGGATGGTAGGTTTTTATTTATTCACCACGGGAGCTGGCTGAGGTGGGCACTGAGGTGCGTGTCCCACCCCACCCCCGGAGGGGCCGACACTCGTCCAGGAGCCCAGGCCAGCCTGGCAGGGAGGGGACACAGTCCTGGGCTCCCCTGAAAATCAGGATGGCCTCGCCCCACTGGCCAGCTCCCTAGATAATGTCTTTCGAGACTCAGCCCAGTCCTGGCTGACGGTTCACCCTGGAGGGAACCAGTCTCTGCTCCAAAAGGGTGGGTCTCAGGGTCACGTGATGTGCTCGAACCTTGGGGCTGGGTGGGGTAGTCAGGAACATTCCAGGAGCCCCGGCCCCACTGCAGCCCCAGAACCTTCTGTCTGTCCTGCACGGGCATCTGGGTGCAGCCCCAGAACCTTCCGTCTGTCCTGCACAGGCGTCTGGGAGGGGGCGCCGCCCCAGCCCCAGCCCTCCCCACCGAGGCCACACCCACATGAGCTTATTTGACCGTTTTTGTGTAAATGTACAAAGTATGTAAAGTTAACTTTTATTTGTTGTGCAGAGCAGTTTAAAAATGTTTTATGAGATCACGTTTGTATTTTCAAATAAAGAATTTAAGGATTTTCAGCCACAGGCTCAGCTGGAGACAGACATAGCACCGGGGTTTCTGGACACGGCTCACAGACGGACGGGGGAACAGATGGGGGCGTTACCGGGGGAGACTGCAGGGATGTGGACGGCCCTCAGGGGCGGGAAGCCAGCGGGTTGGGGGTCACAGGCCCTGGGACCTGAGAGCTCCCAGCAGCATGACCAGCGGTCTGACCATGTGGCCTGCACTCCGGCCACAGTGCTTCTGACATCACCCTGGTGGCCGTTCTCTCCCACTGTCAGTGCTGACCTGTGCACGACAGGGTGGGACCCTCCCCTACAGACAGTAGAAAAGACCCCAACGTCCGCCCTCCAAGGTCCGCTCAGGCCTCCCCCGTGTCCAGGACGGCTCATGGTTTGGCACCAACGTGAAACTTACAGGCATGAGCAGCCCCGCATGTCCGGGGGAGGCATCTGATGAGCACCCCTGCCCAGGCCTGGGCAGGCCGTCTGATCGTCTGGGCGCTAAGCAGGCCTTGGGGAACCAGTTTCTTTGTCCAGCAGCTGGGCCCACAGCACTGGACACAAGAGGCACCAACAGCAGGGCCAGGGCAGAGAGGACGTGCTGGGTTCTGTCTACAGAGCTGGACGATGAGGGGCCGCACAGGACCACAAAGAACGCACAGGAGCACACGGGACCACACCGGACCACTAGGATGCACAGGACCTCACGCTGAGCTCCACAGACAGGAGCAAAGCTGGTTCCAGCCCCACCTTCCCAGCCCAGCACAGCGGTCAGGCAGTGAGGAAGCTGCGGCAGGTGGGCCCCCAGTCGACAGCCACACCACCTTGTCCCCAAGTACGGGGTCAGATCCACGGGTGTGGGTGGCCAGGGTCACTGTCACCATCACCTGCCCCACGGCCTCAGGGACCCGAGGCCCGGGTCATCCACACACGCTGGCCACTGAGCATGGCTGAGTGGGGTCATAGACGAGGCGATGGAGGAGTTCCCACCACAAGTCCTGGTGGGTGTGGGTCACTCCAGTCAGACTCGCCTGGGGACAGATAGGCCAGGAGCCTAGGACACACGTGCGGACGTGGGCTCACAGACAGAGGGACAGACGCATGGACACAGGCAGCCTAGGCACCTCTGCGGTGGTCCCCAGGCAACTCAGGGAAAACTGAGCAAGTCCCAGGAAGATGACGGGGTCCCCTGCCTACCACAGCTGTTTGCAGGAATGAGCCAAGACACAGAGGCCAAGACAGTGGGGAAGATCCTTCCACAGGCCGGCCACACTTCTGCCCAGAGCCCCCTGGCCGGTGCACCCTGCCCAGAGCGTTTCCTCCTTCCAAGGGCTGTCCCAGACCCACAGATCGCACCAGGGCCCTGGGCAGCACCGTCCCAGCCCAGGCTCAGGGTCCTGGGTAGGAGCCAGGAGAGAGACTGGGAACCCCAGGGAGCCCCAAACCCAGTGTTCTGAGCCACATAGGCCCAGGGACACACCTGAGGACCCCGTGTGACCTAAGTCCACATGAAGATCAGAGCACCATGGGTGGTGCCTGGGCCCCAGACAACCAGGCCAGTCCCCAGGGCGTTGCCCACAAGGCAGGCACCCAGTGATCCTCCACGTGGTGGCCTCGGGTCAGTGTGACCAGCGCCCGAATCCCTGGTTCTGGATGTGCACAGGAATCCCTCCCACCCGAACCTGGGGCAATGGCCTTGCTGTCACCTGGGACACCCAGTGGCTGGGTGTCCTGCCACCCCCACCCAGGGACTGGGGGAAGAAGAGGCAACCCCCACGTGGCCCCCACAGTGTCCTCTCCAGCCCTGCCAGCGTCCCACACAGCCACCAACCGCCCAGAGTCCCAGCCTGGGACCTACCCCCTGGGCAGGGATGGATTTCACATTGACGGCTTCCTTGGAAGAATTCAGAGTCCTCAGAGACAGAAGTGGATGTCAGAGACGTGCTGCAGGAGGAGAGGTCAGTCCCCACCCTCAGCCGGCAGGCCAGGAACAGGTCGTGTCCCTCACAGTTCCCCCAAGGGACTCACCTGTCTTGGGTATCAGTTCCTGTTCAGAGATGGAGGCTGGAGATCCATGGAGAGTTGGAGCCCTGGAGGGGACGGGCTGGACGCTGGTGGAGGAGGACACAGAGCCTGATGGAGACGGATGGAGGGTCGGCCCCAGAACGCAGCCCCAGTGGCCTCTCTGACACTCCACTGAGTCTCCTCTTCTGAGCTGTGGGCCACCGCGGGCTGCCAGGGTGGCAGGAGGTGCCCCTGGATCACATCCCACCAGGACAGCACGGTCTGGACACAGCCACCCACCCAGAGAGCAGCCCCCCATCCCTGACCAAGGCAGGACCCTGTCTGACCAGCAGCCCCCAACGGCCAGCCCTGCCTTGAGGTCAGTGGGGATGAGGCACCTCCACTCAGCTCAGCAGGTTACCAGGGCCTCCCCTCAGGGATGGAGACACCCGAATCACTAGCCCTGCCCAGCAGCCTGTCCACGCTTAGGCCTAGTGGATGGCAGCGCCCAGGGAGACGTCACAGCAGCCCCGAGCACCTGCACACGCACCTGAAAGGAGTCAGCGGTCTGGTGGCCCATCCACGTCATCTACAAAGCACCCTTCCAGAGGAAGCCCAGCAGCTGTTACAGGCAGGCTTGTTCTAGTCGCCGTGGGGCCGAAGGGCCCGATGTGACCTCGGACCCAGCAGGGAGACTGCACCTTTTTGGGGCCACAGGACATCCCACATCCAGCGGTGACAGGCCTCCGGTCCAGGGCGGTGTCCAACAGCTTGAGCTGGAATCAGCTCTGCCCCCAAGGGCCCCACGTGGACTTGCCCCCAGGCCCCGCCTCCACCCCCAACGCAGGGACCAGCCCTGGGTCCCCCCTATTCCCCCAACACACGGGGCAGCCCGGTGAGTCCCAAGTTCGAGTCCTGCCTTAGTCCAGGGCCCAGCTCTCCCCTCAGCAGCAGGGACCGCTGGGGCTAGACGACTCTCTGTGGGGGTGGTGTCGGGTGCAGAGTCCCTGGTCTGCACCCACCAGAAGCCAGCAGCTCCCCCTCCCCCGCTGTGATAAACAGACATGTCCCCTGACATCACCAAGTGTCTCCTGTGGGTTAAAACTGCCCCAGTTATGAACCATTTCTATAGACAGGACAGATGATTGACAGATAAATAACTGATAGACGGATGGCGGATAATTGATTGACAGATAACAGATAGACAGATACATACATAATAGATTTTTGATAGAAAGTCTCCACGTCAGGCCTCTTGCTCCCCTGCCTCCCTGGACGGCCCGCACTCTGAGTGTGTCTACTTGGACTTTAAGCACCCAACCCCGCATCTCTCCGCCTTTCTTTTGCGTCTGAGACAGCCTGTCAATGGAGCATACATCTCGGAAGAAATCTACTTTTACTCATAAAAAAAAGCATCCATATTAGACAGGGTTTCTCATGACCGACATGAGACTGGGTGACTGCAAGCTGCATCCCTGGTCCCAATCCACCACGTGCCAGGAGCACCCCATCCCCAGTGTGACAACCAGTAATGTCCCCAGCAGTGACAAGTGTCACCAGGTGAGAGCCACAGGTGCAGACAGGTTAGGAACAAGACCATCAGCTGATGGCACCCTTGGGTGACACTGGGGGACCCAGAATCCTTAAATCTTTGGGGTCTGGTGGCCCCACAGTGAGGTCAGCTCCATCAGTCCCGCTGCTCAAGCCAAGTGGCCAAGACCACAATGCACATCAGGCCGGAGGAGAGAGGTGCTAGGGCTTGGACACGGGCAGTCACTCTGCTGGGGGCCTGGATGTGAGACTGTGCGTCCTGGGAGCCGCCATCGGGGAAGGGAGGCGCGCTTACACAGAGCCAGGTCAGCTGCTCGAGTCCCACGGGTGCTCACCTCCCCATCAGGAAGGAGGCCCAGCCCAAGTGTGCGGTGAGGGCAGTGTGTGCGCGGGGCCAGAAGCAGGAGGTAGGGCACGGGCTGACCCCCCACGGCTCCTGCGTCTGCGTCTTTTCCATGTAGCCCTAGCTGGGTCTCAAGACCTCGAGCTGTCCTGGGAGGCCCACCTGGGAGATAAACTAACTCTGGAGGGTAAAGAGAATGGAATCTTATCCCGCTCAGACTGGGGGCGGCATCTCGGACACAGCAGTGCGCCCCCAGGTTTCCCACATGGACGTAGCCAGATTCCCTTCTTTCTTGCAAAGGACCACACGTGAGTCTGCACGGCAGCCCCTCCCACGAAGGGGTCCTGGATCCCCGCTGGCCACGCAGTCACCCCGCGTGCTGAGTCACCACCCCCAGCACCTCCATCCCAGCAGGCACCACGGCTGCTCCTGGCTTTGTTGTTTTTTCTGAAACATTGTGAGAGTTCAGCTTTCCCAGAGAGACACTGGAGATCCCTGTGCGTGCACATTTGTCCTGAGAGAGGTCACCTCGCAAAGGGCAGCGGGGCCGTGGAACCAGGAACCAGACACGACAGAAGTGCGAGGGGGTCAGGACCTGCCACCCAAGTACGACCTTGGCACAGTGATGTTACCAGACAAAGGGGTCTGACCCCCAGGGAAGGGGTCCTCCCCATGCCTGGAGGAGAGGTGCGTCCTGATCTCCCAGGCATAGCACTGCCCTCAGAGCCTTTCCGCACTGCCCTCCTGCCCTCGGACCTGGAGTGAACATGCAGTCTCGCCCTTCCTGGGTCTTCACTCCTTACAAAGGGCTTCTGTGTGGACGCAGCACCTCAAGGCCAGGCCCTGCTCCCAGCTGACCATGGGCCCCAGTCTGTGTGTGGCACCGGCTGACGTGGGCAGCACAAGAGCCTGCCCTCCCTGTGGGAAGTGGGGCTTCCCTCCAGTGCCCAGTGTGGACAGCGAGACCTCCAGCGAGAACTAATCCACCGACAGCTCTGGCCGGCCCCTCGGGCCCTGTATATTTTACTGACGACCCACTGCTATGAGTGTCTGGTCAGGAATCTCTCTGGCCTGGCAGGGTAAGCCACCCTCCAGCATCCAGCAGGTGTGACCCCCTCAGGCTCCCATGTCAGAGCCTAGCTGACCCGTGGAGGGCACTGGCTTAAACCTGACCCCATGCTTGGAGGCCCGTGACCGAGGCGCACACCCATCGGGCAGCTGCGCAGCATGGGGTGATGGCCCTGGACTCAGACATGGACACAAGCATCCTGTTCACCTTAGGGTGCGGCAGCCCCGGCACCGTGCTCAGGAGTGGCCGGCGGGGCCGGTGGTGACCCAGCCTGACTTCCACAAATCCAGCAAGACACAGCAAGGTTGCTGAGGCCAGGCAGAGGGGCCCTGGCTGAGAAGGTAAAACACGCTCACTTTGAATTTACAGGAAAAAAGATCAGTTTCACAGATGATTCCCGTTTCTCATAGAGTGTCCTCAGCACCAAGACACACTTCATGTGAACGTGCATCCACGGGGACAGATACAGGGCGGAAAGTTACCGTGCACAGTAGCTGCTTTCCCTGAGCACAGACTCAGGTGAGTGGTCAGAAATGGCCTTCTGTCTCCATGACAATGCAAATCAGCCGCACTGACCCAATCAGCACCTGAAATGTTCCCAGTAAAACACATGGTTTCACAGTCTCACTCTTTGCAGAAAAATGCCTGTTATAGGCTGAATTATGTCCCCCAGATTTACTTGCTGAAGTCCTGACCCCCAGGACCTCAGAATGTGGCTGGATTTGGAGATGGGGTCTTTACACAGGTGATGAAGGTAAAATGAGGTGGGCAGGATGACCCTGAGAGACCTCCAGGGTCACCCCAGCACCTCAG